TGCTCTGGATTGCGGTTGTAAACGACCTATTAGAGGAACTGGAAAAAGTAGGCTGTCGGGTGATCGCTTATGTAGATGATGTGAAACTTTTGGTTAAGGCACGATTTCTATACACCATTTTTGATCTGGCTCGAGGTTACCTGAATCAAGTAACTGGGCGGGCGATCAACGACGGCTGTCGTGGAAGCCCAACATTGAGGAAAGGGTAAGAAAGGTATCGGTTGCCTTGTACTGCTGCAGGGGAGCTATCGGTAAAAGGTGGGGTTTCTCGACCAAATTAATTCATTAGCTCTAGGAAACCAGATTTAAGCCTCTATTGTTTCAAGGAGCCCTAGTCTGGTGGAACTCACTAGAGAAGGCTGCACTTGTAAAACAGGAATTAGCGGGGCATTAGGAGCCACACCTACACTGGCGCTTAACATTCATATGTTGAACACGGCGCTTGTGGATATCGCAGACAGAATTGTCGCAGCACGAACTGCTATTAGGCTAAGAGAAACCGGGTCCTTTTGTGACATAAAAAAGGAAAAGAAGACATTTCTCTGCTGCAGCAAATGTTTTTATAGGATACTTTAAAACACGTTACCTCTCAAGGGCAATGGTAATGGGGGTTCTGACAGAGCATTGGGCGGTTGGTATTCATGCGGTGGGACTAGGAATTTCAACTGATCCTTTTGTACCAGCTGTCAAGAAGAAGATGAAGTGGAATCATCTCCACACTTTCTTTTAGACAGTCCAACCTTCGCGAGGCTAAGATGGAAGCATTTTGGCTCGCAGTTCTGAACAAACACTGATCTCTCAGGGATCGAAAGTAGCCGCATTCGAAATTTCATAATCGACTCGCGGCGTTAACTTAACCCAACCCAAGTAGTACTTCTTTGAGCTATGAAATAGTTGGTCACATTAGGTATGTACTACCTCTCCGTAATACCTGGGTGGGATCCCTGGTCCAAGCAACATCAAAAGAAAGTTTTAAAAACAAGATCTTTCTTAACAGCGGTTGCTCCTCCGTGCAGTGTTGGGCAAATTTGAATTGCAAGAACAATTAATTAATTAATTAATTGTTAATTTCTATCACTACTACTATCACCACTAACAATTGGTTAATTGTAATTGTAAAGAATAACAATTAACTAATTGTAATTGTTGTGGAGAATAACGGTGATATTCTTCAGTTAGCAATTAAAAATTTTTTAATTGGTTTGTAAATTTTATTAAAAATCAACGATTATAAATGCCTACTATATAGGCCAGGGATGTGAATATGACAATCACCCACAACCCAGGCCTGTGCCGTATTTTTTTTTTTTATTTATAATGCCGAATTTCCACTAGCCATTTAAATGGCAAAAAATGCATGCCATTTAAAAAATGCCATGTGGAAAGGAACTTAATGACTATTTCTTACAAATAAAATAATATTTTATAATTTTTCAATGCCCAATTTTGTCATTTGCCATTTTTGCCATTTGATGCCTAGTGGAAATCCAGTTTAAGTAGGCTAATTGTTATCAAAAAAGTAATTGCAATTAAACTATTTGCCGTGTGCAAATAAATAATTGCAATTACTTTTTTAATAAATTAAAAAAATGATTGAAAAATTATTTGATTAACGCTCAACACTGCCTTGAAAAAGCTTCACCCCGCCTTTTTGTGACAACATCAAGACACACACCACAAATTGGAGGAGAAGCTTGGCCAAACACTTAGCAAAGGTGTAAGCGCTAAAATATTATTATTATACTATTAATATTTGCAATGAGTAGGAAAATACTTGGATTCAACATGGCATATGAGTGATATTTATCTCGTGATTTTTTTTACTTGATGTTTAATAATATTAATTGATGAGGTATAATATTGATATGATTTATAATGTGATCTTAGGTGTATTAAGCATATATGCTCAGTGGCTTAGCAACAAAAAAAAATAATGCAAATATTAATTTTTTATAAGGCAAAACTTAGTTACTAACTAATTAATTAAATGTGTTTAAAACTAATTTATCGAACTTATATAAACTGCGTTCCAATAAGCTGACATTTTGGAACCTACCTGCGAAATTTGAGCGAAATCCGGCAAGATTTGATGAAAATATACCAATTTTTTAATAAAGATGCATCTATAGTCTGTAGTTTCCGGAAAACAAACAACAGCGTTGAGCGACCTCTAAATCTTGTTCAAATAAGCTGAAATTTTAGAAGTAACTTGTTTTCCCTCTTATCTTCAAGAATCCGAACGTTCTCCGTCGAATTTCCAAAAAGTTCCAGTTTTGAATCACCCTGGTGTACATAGTGCTCGAAAATATATATTTTTCCTTTAACTTAAAACTTTAAGCGTGGGCAACCATGATGTTTTGTAATTTAGGCACAATAGAATATGCGCTATCTGGGAAGACAATTACAGGTAACAATTATTCTTGTTACAGGTAACATCTATTCTTGGCACTATATCGAAACACAAACGCGTGACATGAAAATTTTCTCCGTGATAGTAGCCATTTCTAACAAACTTTAGATCTCTTAGTCAATAATGGAAATATATATATTTGAATTTTAAGAAAACAAGGTAAATAGCCAAATCGGCTAAAAACGGCTATTTTTTTACAAAACGGCTAACAAATCGGCTTCCGGCTAAACCGAAATTTCTCCAGCTGTTTGCTATCGCAAGCGGCTAAATCTAGCCGGGAAACGGCTAAAATGGCAACACTGATTCCATACATGAAATAGATTCATTGCATAGCTTTTAGGGCAGGCTCATCCCATATATTTATTTGTCCATTTTTATTGTGGCGTATTCATATTTATTTCAATAGTGTTATTGAGCTTTGTACCACGATTTTTTTGTTAGGAAAAATGGGAAAAACAACAATGCTTAAGCCATAAAAACTATGCAATGAATCTATTTCATGTATGGAATTAACAATAACAAGCACGCTGTCAAACTTTAATAGCGGCGAATCAGCTGCACTTGACAGTAGTAGGTTGAATAAGGGAATGGATTAGCAACAAAAGCTCACGGGGTGTGCATAGCTCAATGGTTAGCGCTTCTGACTTTGCACATCGATGACGCGGGTTCGATCCCGGCTGAAAGTCTAGAAAAAATAAGTCTGATGAGGAGATGTTGTGATCTCCGACATAGCTGCTATAACTTCTACCGCTTAAGCATTGTTGTTTTTTCCATTTTTCCTAACATACAAATCGTGGTACAAAGCTCAATAACACTATTGAAATAAATATGAATACGCCACAATAAAAATTGATAAATTCATTTACTTTGAACAGTTTAGTCCTTTCTTTTTAAAATTTTATAAAAGTACTAATTAACGCTTAAAATTTGAGATTTGGATAAGAATAAACCAAATAAATAATTCATACAATTATTAGATATTCTTTTTTTCTATAGTTTGGTTTGTTCATTGATAATTGAAATTAATCAAATAATAATAATAATAATAATAATCAAATCGGTATAGAGTAAAACCAAATGCAACATAAGGTGTCAATAAAACTACGTTAATGGCTTTTTTCGAGTTAACTCAAATAATGAAGATATCCTTGATTGTATCCTTGCACACGATTTACTTTTTAATTAGGTTAAGTTCATTAAAAGTATTCTTAGAAAATAATCATATAAAGTTTTTTAATACGAGGAGTTCATGGAATTAATTTTTGAAGTTTCTTTTTTATTAGCACTGCGCTAGATGGTCCTGTAGGCTAATTTTAATGAATTTTATTGAGTTTTTTCAAATAAATACTAAAATTAAAGCTCTTTATTAAAAACGAAAGTCAGTCACCATGTAAAACTTACGTTATTCGTATTAAAAAAATACCCATTTTAAATACCGCCATCAATACTTTAAACAAATAATTTATTTATTTTACTTTGTTTTATTCTTTTGTCTACTATTTTCTCAAACTTTCTTCTTTGCTTTTTATTTCGATTATCAAAATCATCGTTATACACTGCCGGAACAAAGTATTGACACAGCAAATTTTTCACAATATATGCAACAATTTTTATTCTAATATTTTTCCGCCAATTCTGTGTAAAAATATGATTCATTCTACAACAAAAAACATAAAAATATAATTCCTAAACTATGTGCAAAACTCGCGAAAATTCAACAAATTTTAAACTTATTAATCAGATTTTTTTAGATTTTTTTTGAGTATGCAGATTTGTAGCCCAATCAATTTTGTTATAACAAAGTAAAAGTTTTAAGTAGCTAAGTAGCCGTTTTTTCACGCAGCCTCTTCCACACAACAAATTTTTTCGAAAATACTTTATATGGAAAGAATGCAAAACACTTTCAACAAAAAAAATCTCAAAAACTAATATGATTTTTGACTAACTCTGAACTTGCATTATTTTACTATAATTTAATGGGTTGCAAAACTCCACACTCAAATAAATTCTAAAAAATCTGATTAAAAAGTTGAAAATTTGCATAAAAGTTTGATGAATTTTCGCGAGTTTTGCACAAAGTCTAGGAATTATTTTTTTATGTTTTTTGTTGTAGAATGAACCATATTTTTATACCAAATTGGCGGAAAAATATTAGAATAAAAATTGTTGCACATATTGTGAAAAATTTGCTGTGCCAATACTTTGTTCCTCTCGATTGAGTGTAATTTTGCGCTTTCGCAGTTCTAAAGGCTTTAGTCTGAAAATCGCTGGAATAACTATTTTGAGTAATTATTTCATTTTGTGAGTTTTCGATAACAGCAATTTATCACTTTCTTTGGTGTTTTAATTAAAAAATGGTTGATTGTGAAAGGAAATATCAAAATTGTCGTTGGATATGACGTAAATATCTTAGTAAATTTTTCAAGAAGGAAAGTTTGAAGAAAATGTTGACAAAATAATAAAAATAAATACAATAAATAACTTAATTTATGTTTAAAATATTAATTAAGCGTTTAAAATCACATCATTACTAAATTTTTAATAAAGACCTCTAATTTGCGTATATACTTGAAAAAAGGCAAAGGAAAATAATTCTAAATTGATCGGAGAGCTAAACCGAAACAACAAATACGAAAAACACAAAGCAGCACAATGAAACACTTTTTTCAACATATTAAATATAAGTACGACATGGACGCCTGTTACACCATCAAACAATACGGCAAAAACCACAAAATACTTGCGAAACAACAACAACGGCTTAAATTTCTACTGAAATGTAAAGACTTTGGAATTCTACCACCACATCTAAAGGGAAAGACCAGCAAAATTATACAGGGTTTCAAACTCGACAAAACTAGGAAGGAAATGCTAAAGATTGAAAAACAGTTCTTAACTAAAATTCTCAGTTTGGAGATAAAAGAGGCTAATATACAAATAAAAATCGTTAATGACGCCATAAGACAAATTAAGAAAAAATTACGCGAAATTCTGGAAGATAATGAATACAATTCAGTAGTCGAAACACAAAACCAATTTCTAAAGCATACCAAAAACAAAACAGAAGGGACTCTTAATAGAAAACTACAAAATTCAACTAACGAAAACTTTGAAAAATTTGAATTGAGACGTAATGAGGATTGGTTAACAAATAACACCAAAATCGCCATTCCTGTCGAGTGCAGATGGTTGCTTTCTTTGGGGAAAAAGTTCGCTCTGCCAGTTTCTAGGAAAACATTTTCACCATTGCATTTAATAGCCGACATCGAACAAAGCATACAAACTATGGAGGATAACAGAGAAAAAGATATGGTGAGATGCAAATTTGCGACCAAAGTTAACACATTTAAAAATAAGTTAATAAATAGTCCAAAAGAGAAATCTATACATCAAATTTACGAAGAAACACGACGATTTATCAAGCAACATAAGGATTCCATAATTATTACGAACGCAGATAAAGGAAATAGGACAGTGGTGATGTACAAGGAAGATTATAAAGAAAGAATGAAAGACCTCATCAGTGACAAGCTTACATATAAAACTATTAGAACTGACCCCACCCAAAAATTGATGAGAAAGAATAATAATATTGTGAATGACCTCTACAAGAATAAAAACATCGATTTAAAACTGAAACATCACTTGACATGCACAGCAGCGACAGCACCTAGACTGTATGGTCTACCAAAAGTCCACAAAAGAAACATACCACTTCGACCAATTTCATCGTCAATAAATGTACCATGCTCCGGACTATCTAAATACATAGGACAAATACTAAAAAATATCGTCACCGAGAAATTTAATATAAGAAACTCATTAAATCTGAAAGAAAGTATAAAGGATCTGCATATTGATGATGATGAAATTCTCATATCCTTGGACGTCGTTTCCCTCTTTACAAATATACCCATTCACTTTGCAATCAACACAATAATGAAGCAGTGGTCGAGTCTGCAAAAACACACAAAAATCATAAAAAAGCAATTTCTAACTATATTAGAATTTTGTCTGAGGGAAAATAATTACTTTGTGTACGATGGAACTTACTACCAGCAAGTTTATGGTATGCCGATGGGTAATCCTCTATCGCCAACTATAGCGGACATAGTTTTAGACAAAATTATTGACGACAGCATTATTGAGCTAAGATCCACTGACATATATATCAAATACATAACCAAATATGTAGATGATATATTCAACAATATAATATGATATATTATACAATTCACTCTGGAGAAAGAAAAAGATAACAAATTAGCCTTCCTAGACATAGAAATATATAAAAATAAAAACAAACTAAAAACTAATTGGTACACCAAAGCCGTAGCATCCTCAAGGATGATCAACTACCATTCCAACCACCCATGGACTCAAAAGAGAAACACGGCTATAAATTTTATAAACAAAGTTAACTCCTTGAGTGACCAGGAGTTCATGGATCAGAACAAGAGACAAATAAGAAGCATACTATGTAAAAACGGGTATCCTAACAAAATAATAGAAAGCTTACTAACAGCAGCAGCAAACAAAATCACATGTAAAAGTGGCAATACAAAAACAAAGGAAGACAATTGCAAAATATATACAGGCGTCACATATATACCTAAACTTACGGACAATAAAACACTACGCAAAATTATTAAAAACAACAACGTAAGCTATGCACATAAACCACATCACACTATCCAAGCCATTTATACTAAAACAAAAGATAAAATTGGTAAGGAACAACTACACAATGTAGTCTACGAAATAAAATGTCAAGGCAAAGAAGGAGAAAACTGCAGCAAGGTTTACATTGGCACAACGAAGAGATCGCTTGGAACGAGAATCAACGAACATAAGCTAGACGCCAAAAACAACAAGAGTACCACAGCATTAGCGCAACACCTGACGGAAAACAAACATACAGCTGATTTTGACAATGCAAAGGTTATGTTGTGATAATTTTATTGCTTAACATTAAAGTAAGTGTTAAATTATTTTGTATTGGCTTATTTGCTCCTTGTAATAATTATTCGTTATTATTATGTTTTTCGTATTTATAAATATATAGACTCCCTGAAGAAGACGCGAATATGCGTCGAAACGCGTAGGAGAAGAAGTAAACACTTGTTTTATTCAATATAACCGGCCAAAAAGCTCCAAACCCAATAGCATTGAAATTCGATGAAATTGGCCTACAGCGATCTAGCACAAAGCTAATAATAAACGAACATCAAGAACCAGTTCCTCGTATCAAAAAACCCTTACATAAGTATTTTCTAAGAACCTTTCTCAAGAACTCAATCTAGTTATACAATAAATCGTGTGCACCGATTCAATTAAGGACGTCTTCCTTATTTGAGCTAAACTCGAAAAAAACCATCAAGGTAGTATTATTGACATCTAAAACTATCACTTGCATTCGATTTTACTTAATACCGAGCCAACAAGTTTGATTTTGTCGCATAGTGTTATTAAGCATTAAACGGTATTTAATCATTAAATGGTTATCCAATTTACAATAATAATAATAATAATAGATTGGCGCTTACACATATGTTAGTGTTTGGCCGAGCTTCTCCTCCGAATTGTGGCGTGCGCCTTGATGTTGTCACACAAAGCGGAGGGACCTACAGTTTTACGCCGACTCCGTAATGGCAGAAAAACACTCGGAGGTTTGCCATTGCCTGCCGAGGGACGACCGCTGTTAAGAAAAAAAACCTTTTTTTCTATATTTTTTGCGATGTTGCTTTGACCAGGGCTTGAACCCAGGTGCTGCGAAGTGGAAGTGCGCACTGCTTACCACTACCACACTACAGTGGCCATAATTTACAATAAAGTACACAAAATATTTTAACTTTTATTTGGGTATATTGTAAACCATTAAAGGGAGTACAAAGTCAATTATACCAGACCTGCTAAAAAATGGTTAATAACACTGGTTTACACCAAAAATGTTCAATGGATGTCACTATCCAATTCCTATATAGAATTGCTCGGTGATTCCGAAAATCGAGTTAGGTATGAGTTTAGTCTCCCTGAAGTAAAACCCCAAACTGGTGAGGAAAAATACTAGTTTACAACTAGAATTTCCTGACGGAAACGGAACTAGTTCGAAAATTACCAGACTTGCACTATGTACAAAACGATTTATTCATGCCCTGTTTTATTTGACTACGACAGTTTATTACAATAAAGTACACCAAATATTATAACTTTTATTTGGGTATATTGTAAACCATTAAAGCGAGTACAAATTAAATTATACCAGACCTGCTAAAAAACGACAAATAACCAGGGAACGGATTTTATGGAAATTGCCTTTTTTCTGCTATGATGATTTAGCTTTCCCTGATTCCATATATACACATTTGATGTTGACTTTTTTTGCCTGTTTTAAGATATTTGCCTTTTTTTTGCCTTTTCTACCTTTAAAAGAGTGATTATAGCATTTACAATTTTTTTTTTTAAGATTAAAAAATGTACACATGCCCATGCGGCTTATAGAAGCGCAGGGACCTCTTGCCAAATTGGTGTTGGAAAAATTCAAAGCCGTTTTCTCAGGTAATGTAGGCTTGGAGACATGCCGCAGGCCGCCTACTCAGAAAGAAGTTCGTTTTCATGTATGCACTATTTCGGTTTTTGTCATATGCATTACTTCGGTTTTGAGTCGAAACTGTGCATGAATGCATTACTTCGGTTTTTGTCATATGCATTATTTCGGGTTTGAACCGAAACTGTGCATGTATGCATTGCTTCGTTTTTCTCATATGCGTTGTTTCGGTTTTCAAACGAAAGGGTGCATGTATGCACTACTTCGGGTTTTTCATATGCATTATTTCGGTTTTCAACCGAATCTGTGCATATATGCATTATTTCGGTTTTTTTCATATGCATTATTTCGGTTTTCAAACGAAAGAGTGCATATGCATAATTTCGGTTTTTCTAATATGCATTATTGCGGTTTTCAACCGAAACTGTGCATATATGCATTATTTCGGTTTTTTTCATATGCATTATTTCGGTTTTCAACCGAAACTGTGCATATATGAATTATTTCGGTTTTTTCGTATGCATTATTTCGGTTTTTTTCATATGCATTATTTCGTATGCACAGTTTCCATATGCACAATTTCAGGGTGCCCTCAGAAACATTCATTAAATTAGCTCTAACGGGCACTTAACTAATGATCGTGTAGATAAAATTGTAAAGGGCGAGGAAAGCGCCCTTATTCCTGATAATATGAACGTTTCAAACGTTCCATATTTAAATTGGGCTCCACTTGTATCAACTTACGTCGAGCGCACATTTAGTACATTCAAGGCTTTTCTTCGCGAAAATCGAATGAAAATGCTGCCAGAAAACTTCAAAATGCATCTTGTGGTTCAATGTTACTACAACTATAAAGATTAAAGTTTTATGAGCTAGAAACTCGAAAGGATAAAATAGTCAAAGATTCAAAGTACAAATTTTTCATATTATGAAACTAGTTCATGGTTTTTCTCTTTTTACTTGTAATATAAACATATCTAAAATAAATGTATTTTTTGATTGTTCTTCGTATTTTCTCTCTTTTTTTAGTGCCTTATTTTGCTTTTTTGCAATACCTAGTGCCTTTTCCTGCCTTTTTCACTATTTTGTTTTGCCTTTTTTGCAATACCTAGTGCCTTTTCCTGCCTTTTTCGCTATTTTATTTTGCCTTTTCCAGCCTATTTCGTTATTTTATTTTTCCTTTTTTATAGGCTTTTAGGTCCTAAAAATCCGTTCCCTGCTAATAACACTGGTTTACAGCAAAAATGTTCCATGGATGCCACTATCCAATTCCGATATATAATCGCTCGCTGATTCCGATATTTGCAATTTGTCGTTATTCAGCTTAAAAGAAAAAGTGGTTCCACTTGAATCACGTATATCTTACGAACCAATTTAACAATCTTAAAATGAGATACGTCAAATCAAAGCTAATGAAAATGAAATATACCATATAGGACCATATTAACGAACGTAAAATAAAGGACATTTTTCCCAATGATTTTAGAATACGAATATACAACTTGTATGATGGTAATTTAGATCAAATATTTGCCAGTTAATTATATTATTAAATTGTACAAGTTCCTCTTCTCGAAAGGCGCTGTAACCGGATTTTAACCGATTCCGAAACCAAATCCTTATAAAGGACTTCGCCATCCTTTGCTGCCACAATGCGTTTATCATAATTGAGCGGAGGTTTATTGTTATTTTTCAGTGGATCTAAAAACTTAGCGTGCAACACGATCCCTATGCTTTTGTCAACAATGAATTTTACTCAAAGTATATTAATTTTTCTGGGAAAATGTCTAAATATTAGTTAATTTTTTTTTCAATTACATAAATTTACCCTTATCAGTATTATCAAGGATTCGTGACCCTTAAGTGGGGTGCGAAGCAAACTGACGAAGGTTTTCATTCTGTTTCATTCTGTTTCATTATGGACATTTTTATTTTTTCATATTCTATGTTTAAAAATTTACCTCTGCAAAATCCAAAGGTAATTTAAAGGACAGTTTAAGAAATAAAGGACAAATGGCGTGCTTTATTTTGACAAAAATTACAAAGGACAGGGGGTTTAAATAAAGGACTGTCCTTTAAAATAAAGGGCGGATGTTCACCGTACCTATATACATCATCATCATATAGGTACGGTGACCACCTATATACATCACTTTCCGATAGGGCTGATAGTTTCTGACAAACTAACTAATCCTTCCGTTTTTTTTATTTTATAATGAAAAAATTAAGAAAAAATCTAACTTTAACAGAAGAAAATGTTAAAAAAATAACAGTTTCTGTGCCAAATTTTTTGGATTTGTGCTAAAGCCTGTTCTGTTACAAAAAAAAAATCAAGTTACTAATGAAGGAAAGCGAGGGACAAATAACGAATAACGAGTGGTGGTCAAATGAAAATGCGCAAAGATTTTTTGTATGAAATATAAGCAGAAGGCGTGTTACTCAGGTGTACGTGGCGTATGAGTAACTTTCTTTCCTGCTAATTTTTCATACAAAAAGTCTAATTTCTTTATTTATAAATCGAGTTTCTTCATTAGTAACCTGATTTTTTTTTTAACAGAACAGGCTTTAGCACAAATACAAAAATTTGGCACAGAACCTGTTATTACAATGCTTTTATCAACTTGCAATGTTGTGGATCCAGAAACTTTCAATGTTGTGGATCCAGAAACTTTAAATGTTGTGTGTCCGACACCATAAAACCTTTGCTTTGCAAAGTTCCTATAAAAAAGTCTACTACATAGGGCGACATCTGTAGTGCATGGGGCGAGGTAGATGACATCTAGATGTCGCCCTATGTACTACGTACGCTACAGCGGAAATAGACGACACGCCATTTCTTTAAAAGTTCCTATAAAAAGTCTAGTGCATAGGGCGACATCTGTAGTGCATAGGGCGAGGTAGATGTCATCTATGCACTACGTACGCTACAGCGAAAGTGGACGACACGCCATTTATATAAATGAAATTAATTGGTGCTCTTATGTATGTACATACATATGTAAATCAGTGGTGCACACGGTGTGATCGGACTTCTACCACATTGTGGTAGATCTGCCACTTTTTTGGGCATCTCACTCAAGGTCTGAAATCTACCACATATTTGCGTTTTCAAGTAGTTTCATTTTTGCTCGACATAATTTCCTTAATTTTAAGAGCGGAAAATGTCCAATTATAAACACTGTATGGTAACAAGAATGATATAATACAAGATTCCGCATTCCCGGCGGCGATGAAATTGCTCAAGTAATAGTAAACAAAGCCGAATGGGAGGATAAAATAAACTGTAAATTAGTAAATTTTCGCAATAATACATTTTTAAAATGCAAAATATATGATTTACAAAAAGAATTAATAGCGAAAATGTTAGAAAACGGCGATTTTTGTGAAAGTATTAGCAAAATTAAGTGCATCTTAAGTTTCTGAGGCGTTGTTTACTTTTACTTGAGAATTGTCAAAATCGGTAAATTGCAAGTAGCGGTTTCTGCAACGTGCCACATTAGTTCGCTACATCGCGATGTGATAAAAAGAAAAGCTGGCATCACTCTGCAAGGTTGCAGAAATCTCTTAAAATATGTTCGAAAGATATGTTGATATGGAAAAAACTGCTTTACACTGTCA